CTCGTTTTTTATAATAAGCAAAGGTAAAAATTAATTGAAAGAAAGAAGGAAAAAAATAAACATCCTGACTTGAGAATGTGCAGGAGCATGCACCAAAACTAAAGTGACGTAATCTATATATTATTAAAATATTCAAATCATGTTATAAGAGGACAAAGTACCATGCTAACATTATTAATATAATTTGAAAAGATGTGAATTGAAGGAAAAAATGGCAGAGTTGTTTCGTACGGTGTAGACCAAAAGATCAATGTTTGCTAATGCCAAGTATTAGAATATTTCCTCTAGTACATCTAAAAAGCTACGTCTATGACATATTAGATAAAAGAATCAAATGGTCATGCTTATTTTCAAACAGCACATCGAAAAAGCTAATGGAATCATGACAAACAACATATCCCTATATTGGTCTATCATTCTTTTAAAATAATAATATGGGTTTAAAGAAAACATTGAACCCAAACGAAAAGAGAACCTGAGCGGGGGTATCGAAAGCAAATATGCTTGTAGGAATGGCTATTCACTGTGGAAAATATCACAAACAATCACAAAGGAAAGCATCACGGAGTGGCGCGCATGACTGGAACAGCGGCAGCAGTAGCGACTTCAACATGTTATTTGTTTCTAAGTTCCTTCCTTTTTCATTCAGTTCCCACTTCCCCTAAAAACTCAAGAAATTCCCTTCTCTTAAAGAAACTTTTATGGTTTTACAAAACTGTTGTCTCCTTAAACTCTCTCATTTTTCTCTCTCAGAAATCTGTTGTTTTTAGACACTCTGTTTTAGTATTTTTTCTTTCTTGAAACTTTTCTCAAAAAACCACAATAAAATTCCCCCCTAAAACTCAAGGCCTTTGATATTTATAGAGTGAGGCTGATGTTTTTATTATTATTTTTCCTTCTCTCCCTGAACACGCCTCCTTGATCTTCTTATCCTGAACATAGCTCCCTGATTTTCTTATCCTGAACCATGTTTCTGAACTTGCTCACGTGGGGTTATCTTGAAGTTGATCTCACCTTGATTGACAAAGGCGGTTTGGGTCATGGATAGAGGCTGATGAAACCCATACTCGGGGACTAGTGTACGCAGTAAAAGAAAGATGGCATTTTCTATATTTTTTATGTTTTTATTCGTTTAAAAATAAAAAAAACAATAATAATAAAAAGAAAGAATAAAATAACGTAATATATATATTCACAGAAGAGATAAAATAAATTTTACAGCTTTTATTATTATTATTATTATTTTCATTTTTTATTTTTATGTGTGAGGACAAAATTGAGTGGTTACACATTATCATAATAAAATTCGACGGAGTAAACACACAAGACAGACACAACCAAACATCCTAGCTATTGCAATACATACAGGCTTTTCCCTCGAACCATTGCTCTGATACCATAAATGTAACACCCCGTATATATCCGATAATGTTATCATACTATCGTATTAAGCAGCTTAATTAAAAATGCGGAATATCTTTTGCTTTTCAATTATGAAGTCATTAACATTACCAACTTGCTTATTAATCACATGACTGGACTGATGCCTCTGGCGGTAGGAGGCCAGAGCTTAGCTGATTATGATCTTACTGCTTATTTGCTAGCATGACTGGACTGGATGTTGTTTAAGTTTTCTGCTCTTTATGTTTTGAGTTGAGACTGATTTTGGGCTTTGTTGCCTTATGTAACACCCCGTATATAACCGGTAATGTTATCATAATATCGTATTAAGCTGCGCTTAATTAAAATTGTGGAATATCTTTTTCTTTTCAATTATGATGTCATTATCATTACCAACTTGCTTATTAATCAATTAATAAAACAACGCCTGTATGTAATTGCAATAAAACAGCTATCTGAAAATACCTCGTAACATATATGATAAAAGTGTGGCTCTAGTCACGGAACTACAACAACGTAGACCGGACCATCTAACAGTTTATACAACTCCAAACTAAAGCACTAACATAAAGTGTCATGGACAATCCCCATGCTCACTCAAATAAGGCAACACGCTCAACAATAGTCTCAACAACAACATAAACATAAATAGCGGAAAACATAAACAGCATCCATATCCAGTCATGGCAGCAAACAGCATAATATCATCAACTAAGCTCTGACCTCCTGCCGCCAGAGGCATCAGTCACCAAACTACCGGAACCTGAAATAAGCATTCCCCAACGTGGAGTGAGATCTCTAAACAAGAAATCTCAGTAAGACAAGGGGTCCTCAAGGATCTTCCACCCCAAGCTCACTTACATGTGCAATATAAGTTCAAAAGCAGTTTATCATCATCAGTTCTAAAATAGTGCAATGCAGCAGATAATCATGTCATGTGTGTCAATTCTATTCTACTGGTCAGAGAAATGCAGGATTTGCATACGCCAAATACCCACACTAGTGCAAGACGCTACTTGCATCCATCCCGGATCACCGTCTTGTATGGCGCTACATACTCAGGTTTACCGTCAAGATGGAACAACACATGCATATTAAAAGCCATTACACATAAAGCTCAACAGCATTTCAAATATTCAAAGCATGTAACACAGCATGCATACAACCATACCCCCATGGGACATGGTGGAACCACAACATGGCTAAACCGAGGACACGAAAGCTTACCTTTAAGCTAGCTATCCAAACCAAGAGTCCACACAGCTCAAGGCCCACAAACAGCACAATCACAATCTGCCCATACCATAATTACTCATCAATAATCATAGCTCAGATTACATTAAGTGATTAAGTCTTTCTTACTCATTTTAACTCATTACATGTTGTTTCTGCAGGAAGTATTCGAATACTCCACGAGTAGTATTCGAATACTCCAGCTCTCTAGAAAGTATTCGATTACTTTCTCTTAAGTATTCGAATACTCGACAGTATCCGAATACTTAAGCCCCCAGTATCCGAATACCTCAGTATCCGAATACTAAACTTTACTGTATTCGAATACTTTCCATTATTCGAATACTTCTTCAAAGGTAACCGAATACTTTTCTTCCCAGAAAAGTATTCCAATACTCCAGCAAGAGTATTCGACTACCTGATGAACAAGTATTCGAATACTACACGAAAAGTATTCGAATACTTCTTCAACAGAATGCAGAAATTCGAGCCAACTTCTGCATAATCCCAAATTTAAGGGTCCAAACGCGATTGGGAGTCCAATGACTCCCTAAACAGATATAACACAACATGTTATGAACCCAGAAACACATTCTTTTACTCAAATGGTTAAAGTTCCTCTTTTTAATAGATTAAACAAGCTTTAGGCCTCAAAATGATACTTAGGTGATCATGGCTCACCTCAAGAGCTCAAAACTTCGAAAATGAAGCAGAAAGGAAGCCTCCAATGCAACTCCAAGGTTCTGACTTCACAAGGCTAAGAAAATACACTTCAAGCCAGACCCTTTGTGCCAAAAGGTGGCTTCTTGAAGCTCAAGAAGCCAAGAGCAAGCCCCACTCACACAAACTCAGACTATATAGCCCCAAACACTCTCAACCAACATCAAGCATATCCTCAGAAATGCTTCACAACTCACCACCAAGGTTACCCCACACACACCCAAGTGTTTAAGTGGCAAAAACAAGGAGAAAAGTGACACCTTTGGCTCACAAGAGGAAAAGAGATGAAGGTGGCAATAGGAGGCACAAGGCTGAAGAGTAATCAGAAAACTCACGTAGGCAGCCTCCAATATGGCCTAGGGTTTAGTGCCATTAAGTATATATAGGCGGTTAAGTTACTAACACACAGTATTAGCTTTAATTTCTACTCTTAGCATTTTAACCCCAAACTTTGGATTCTTAACCTACTCAATTTTACAAGAATTGACATATTTTTATTATATTTTTCTGAGCACCTTTCCGGTACGCGCTTTTCAAAGCCAGTACCGGTTTCTAGCACCAGATCTCATTATTTGGACTTGAAACTCGATTTACAAGTCCTACATATTATTCTAGTAATTATCAGGCACTTATTATAATTTTCCGGGATACTTTTTCGGTACACATTTATACCGACTAGCAGAACCGGTATCTGCACTTTTCTTCCGAAAAGAGACTTTCAGCATTCTTACTCACTAATTATAATTATTAAAGCCTCATAATAATTATTAGGGTCAATTATGGAATCATTTCCTAATTTCGCATAATTAATTAATTAAATTCTTTGATTAGCGGTGCGGGTTCTTACACCTTATTTGGGTGAGCATGGGGTTGTCCATGCCACTATGCTGTTAGTACTTTTGAGTTGAGTTGTATAAACTGTTAGTTGGTCCGGTCTACGTGTTGTAGTTCCGTGACTAGAGCCATACATTACGTTATTTTAATTAATGAGGTATTTGAGTTAGCTGTTTTATTGCAATTGCATACGGACAATGTTTTATTAATTGATTAATAAGCAAATTGGTAATGTTAATGACTTCATAATTGAAAAGAAAAAGATATTCCGCATTTTTAATTAAGCGCTGCTTAATACGATAGTATGATAACATTACCGGATATATACCGGGTGTTACAATATGTTAGAAAAGTATAAAACCATTAGTGTAATCTCACATAACAGCTTAAACTTTTAGATTGAATTGATGATTTACAATGGAATTAATAATCACCCTTATTCACTTTGATTTGAAAAAATCTACATTTTGGCTGAAATTTCTTTTACGCGATTTCTGGTCACTGCATGTTACACAGAAAAGGAAAAAGTCAGCATAAGGATATAGTAACTTAGAAGGCCATCAATGAGGAAAAAAGAAATATAAAATAAAAGTCACTATATTCTTGTCTTTTTTCTTATAATAAAGTATCAAAGAAGACATGTCTCGAGGAGGGATAAAACTCCTCCTTTGTAACTAAAATGTCATGGGCTCAAACTGAAAAAATAACCTCTTTATAAATATATAAGGATGAGATTGCAAACAAGGAGTGCACTCACCCTAATTCTTACTAGTCAGGATTTAATGGAGAGTAATTTATATATAAAGTATCAATCAAAACATCCATTTGGGGGAAGAAGAATGAACAGGAGTTTGTCGGAGTCTAATAGTGTGTTCAGGGTTGCGCTTCATGATTGAAGAGACAGTGGGGTTGTAATAGTCATTACTCCTCTGAGAAGTTGCTTCTTGTGAATACATCTTTTTCCCATGAGAACCTTGGTTCCTTTGTGCAGTACCCCATCTATTGTAACGAACACAACTTTGGCTCCTTCCTACTTGTTGAAACTTTACCTCTTTAGGAGTTGTATAATTGCGAGACTCTGCAGTTTCTGCAGAGTACATAGTCTCTCCTTCGCTACTATATTCATTGTGCATCTCTGATACTTCCATGGGAGATGAACAAAACTGAACATCATTTTCAGCTACATTAACAGAAAGTGTTGAGGCAACTTCTTCACTAGGAGTTGCAAGTTTTCTATCTTGGTTTTGTTCTCCTAACCGGTTTTCGGGTAAAGGACCCTCCACAAAATTTTCAGCAGACTTTGGATGCAGAATTTTGGATGGTTGTGGCAAAACTTCAGGTTGAACAATTCTGGGAGGAAAGTTAATGTCCAAAAGCTGTATTTGTGTATTTTCTTTCTTTCTGAGTGGCACGGCATTAATTCTTGGTGATTCATATATTTCTGGAGTAGGAATTCCCTGTACATGTGCAGCATTGGGATTAATGATCAAGCTTTGTTCTTCAACAATATTGGTAACAGCAGAAGAACTTTGACCCTTTGAGACACAGTTTGATGAAGAAGGGGTGGCAGCATTACCAGTATCTGTTGACTTGAAAACTTGTGGCTTAATCATCAAGCTTTGTTCTTCAAAAATATTGGTAACAGCAGAAGAACTTTGACCCTTTGAGACAGTGTTTGATGAAGAAGGGGTGGCAGCATTACCAGTATCTGTTGACTTCAAAACTTGTGGCTTAATCATCAAGCTTTGTTCTTCAACAATATTGGTAACAGCAGAAGAACTTTGACCCTTTGAGACACAGTTTGATGAAGAAGGGGTGGCAGCATTTCCAGTATCTGTTGACTTGAAAACTTGTCTGAGTGTGAAGGAAGCACATGAATGCTCACTCTTCGAACCAGTAGACATTAAGCGAATGAGTGGTAATTTTGGTTTGTTAAGGTCATCAAGAGTTCCTTCCCAATGCTGGTTTAACCAATCACATATTACAGGAATTGGTATACCAAATTGCATAGGAAGATCCTTCGTACAAGAGGATGAGGATGAGGAAGAAGTTGAAGAGGATTTGGTATCTGGTGATGTGGCTAATTTCATTGGATCACATATCATAAATGCTAGATTTCCATGTACATCAAAACCTGCAGAACCCGGGTTCCATTGAATCCCATCAGTTGACAGTTTTATGAGATTGTCAGTGGCTATGACAACCTTCCCTTCCCCAACAGTGAGTTCTTGTTTCTCATTGTAGCCTAAAAGGTAAACAACACTTCCAAGATCAAGGTTGGTTTTACAACAGGTCTTCAAGTAGTGAGGGTACTGACTCTGGCCATCTGATTCTCCATCCGCATCATCTAAACCCACTATTGTAAGGTCTAATACAGAACTTGTAATGAAAAACCTGGGACCAAGTCAAAAGAATAAGATCAATCACTGCTATACAAATAATCACCTTAAAGATTGGCAAAAGTAATGGTTCATATTATAGATCCCTCGAATTTGACAACATAATAAATTTAATTAGAGGGGATAAGATATTCTTCTAATAATGGGAAGTTTGATATACCCTTAAAAGTGAAGCTGAATTATTCATGGATGAAATTTATACAAAATATTTTAAAACAGTTCTCTTAACTTTTTTAGCACTATTTTTAAGGGAATACCAAACTGATCCTAAAAGTAACCAAATAAATAGATAATAGAAATCAGAGAGAAAATACTTTATCAAAGTAAAGCTCGTGAATCTCTCTGCATATATACCAAAGACTTTCCTTCAACGGGGCAAGAGGCAGGTTGAAACAATAAGCCGAAATACCAATGTAAGGTAGCCAAATTTTTAATCGAAATCATATATATAACCAAAATTCTTTATAAAACAAAAAAAAGTAAGTACTTAATGGAAATTAATTCATAGCAATTGCGCAAACAAGAAAGATATACTGGAAAAATGAAATAAAGTTTATTCTAAGTGTACAGAGTACACACAAACATATAATACCAAGATTCTAAAAAGCTGAATGAAAAACAATCAAATAAGGTTAAATGCAACTGAGAGTAAATTGGTGCTGGGTATAGTATAGAAATCATACAATTCAAGATTAGAATTGTGCTAGTCTATACGATTTGCTAAACCAATGATTTGCATCATGTGATGACTTGAAGATGGTTTTGAATTGTACCATACACGCATGAACCAGTGGGATTCTGCATCACCGATACAATTCAGCGATTCTTTGTTCTTCTTTTTTTTTTCTCTCATCAATTCTCATAAAAGAAATTGAAAAGTCAAATAAGCTTAAGTTGTTAAATAAAAAAGGACTAAAGGGACTCCAATGAATGCACCTTATTTGATTATTCCATTGCCATATTTTCATTCTTCTGAAATAGGGCCTTCACGCACTATCTCACTCTTTGCATCCCATTTGGCTGTTTCATAGCTCTGTTTTCATTCTTCTAAAACAGAGACTTTATACAGCCTCGCTCACTTAATATAGCTATATCATTGCAGTGTTTTTTGTTTTTTTATTTAATTGTTTTAAACAAGCTTCATGCAGTCATTTTATTTGATTCAGTTATGACTTATGACTTAATGAATATATTTGAAGACTTATGATTTAGTTATTTTGTCAATTACTTATTCCTATCTTAAAATCATTACATTGTGTACTATACATCATTTATATGATTTTTCTCAAGCTATTTTTCAGTATGTTCATGAATCTTACAATTTGATACATTTTACAATTCATGAATTAGCTTTATTATTCACGATTTGAATTGCGATTCAATAACCTTGGTGCTGGCCTATAGTGAAATTGTGTGTGCACTTATAAGCCAAAAGGAGGACTAGGAACATGAAACCTGTTACCAATAAGTACTGACAGAAATTCAGAATCATAATTACCGAAAGAAAAGAAGTTCAGAAGCTCGAAAAGTAAGAAAAGAAGCAGGTCAGCCATCATATAGAAATGAACCAAATTACCAAAAACCATAGATAAATCTTTCACTCAGCACTCTCTGCCTAAGCCAAGAGCTCCTGAAACTCATGATTGTTGCTCTATCTTCTTGCACAACAGCCCTATTCAATTGACTAGTTGTATCTTTCCTTTGTTCAGATTTCCTTAATAAACTCAAATACTCTTTGAATTTCACACCCATTTGGCTGTGAGTTTAAATTGGAAAAACAGTACCATTTTACTAAAATCTAAAAGATGCAACTGGACAATTTGAAAAACTGTGCTCAAATCAAACCCAATGCAGCCACATCAGACAATTTGGACAACACTGTTTTGAAGTAGCCATTGCTACATATTCCTCCTCCTTCCACTAGCCATTTAGCATAGAACAAGTTACTACAAGGATTCAATTCGTAATCTACAATTACTGGTTATAATAAGAACTTTTGCCTCGTGACTGTACAGTCAATTTTCTCTGACAATTTTATTTGAATGGACAATGCTGCATGAATGAAAATGCTGACTTAAAACATGAGCCAGCTTTGATAAATATGGCTAAACCAAATATTACAGAAGTAATCAGATTCAAGTGTTAGCATAACCCCAACATTTATCATAAAATAAGCTTAATTGACAGTATTATACTGTTTTACCAGGAAACATCTTGACAAGCTCCTTGAAACGAATCTCCCAAAGACAGCCATATAGGCCCTTAGGCCATGTCTGGAAGAGTGGCAAAACTTAGTACCATTTCACAATCTTGGCATGGGTTTTCTTTATTTCTTTCCTTTTGTCTTTTTATGGGCAGAGGGCAAGGATTTCGCATCCTAATAAAGGATGACGCTTAAAAAATGATATATTAGACCATACAGAACTAACATGAAAAAATGTTCCTTTGCATATTCATTATAATGATATATTAAACTCCGACTAGCAAGGCTAGGGATAAAAACAATTTTTTTGCAAATATGTAAAAATAAGACCGTGTAAAAGGATTGTTTTTATCCTTAGCCTTGCTAGTCGGAGTTTAATGGAGAGTGGTTTTATATTCATTATCATGAGAATTATACATACAAGCAAGATCACAAATACAAAGCCTAATAGGTAAATGGTTTAATAGCAATGATGAAATACCCAGTTAACTGTTTCTATTTATTGTGGTTCAAACAAGTGGAACCAACCAAAATAATAATAACGTTTGCATTTGTGAACTAACCAACTTGGCACCATCTTAGTAACCGAAAAGCCAAACGATATGCTCCACTGACAGCTAGTACTTAAGCATGAGAAAGCATACAAATCAAGAAGAAGAAAAAAGTCATCCTATCCTATGTTTGGAATCATGTACAAATAATCATTTGGCAGGTAACATATCTCATCAATAGCAAATCCTCGTGCTTATAAATCAAATATTTTTTTTCAATTCCAAACTCACAACAATCACATCATACCCACTAGCATCTAGGAAAAAAAATGCAAAACACACAAAAGCAAAACAAAATTAAATAATAATAATAAAAAAAAAGAAACAAAGTTGAGCAATGTGAATGACAATATTTTAAAAATGGGGTACCTCTGGGGTACAAGAGTGGCAGCGACGCCGTTGTGCAGCCGGATCTCGGAGCAGTCGACCGCGACGGCGGAGGGGAGGTTGGTGTGGGTTGTCAAGAGGAGGTTCCGGTGGATCAAGAATCCGACCCCACTGGAAGCGCCGGATATTGTGGCCATGGCTTGCCCTTTGCCTGAAAAAATGGTGGCTTTCATTCTCTCTGACTTGCTCACCCCTTTGCAGAAACACCATGATTCTCTTAGACCAACCATGGATAACAAAAAGGGTAAGAGAGAGAGAAAAATAAATGAGGTGTGTTCAAAACGCTGGATCTGGCAAATGTGGCAACTTAGTTATGAGACAATGCAGCATGTGTGTGATGTCGAGTTTCCTCTCTCTACAGAGAGAGAGAGAGAGAGAGAGAGAGAGAGAGAGAGAGAGAGAGTAACGAGGTGGTCGTGAAAGGAGTAACTAGTATGTTATGACTTAAGGCTATGGTTGTTTTCTTGTAATGGAACAAATGAAAAAAAAAATGAACATTTTCATTCATATTAGGCATGAATAAATAGTGGAAAGAACCGAAGATGATGGTTTACGGTTTGTTGTAGAAGAAAAAAAAAATTAATTGAGAATCATTATTTCCGGAAATATGGTGAAAAAATAATTGTTTTGGAAATGTTAGTAAAAAACTGTTTGGTAAACGAAAATATTGATAGAGAATATTTGGTGAATTTTCATAGTGTTACATTTGGTTGATATTAAAATTTTGCTTGAATTTTGGACAGAATTTATAAATCTACCCTTAATTTTAAATATTTATCGGTTTTTTTACAACATTCATATCTCATTTGCATGGATGACAAATACCAAGCTAATTTCAGCAAAATAAATAAGGGTTCGCTTTTTCTGCAATTACTGCAAATAAGTCCAATATGACGTCGTTTTGGGGCAGAAATCATGGTGTTTTTATAATTTTAATTTATTTCAGGATTATAATAGTCTTTATATTTATAATTTTTTAAGTTTCAATACTAAAACGACGTCGTTTTGGGAATAAATGCAGATAACTTATCTGCAGTAACTGCAGAAACATTTTTTCCAATAAATAAAATACGACAAGGGAGAAATATAACTTCCCAGATTTGAATGCAGATGACAAAGGGGTAAATGAAATATGACAGGAGACATGAGAGGAGTGTATGGAAATGCATTCAGAATCAGCCTAAATGAACATGCAAGCCATTCAACGAAATACGACACAAACACGGAAAAATTGGGATATCGACATTCACTTCGAAGCTTGGACCTTTGATCGTCTTCCACGGATTCGACCACCTAGACGGAGGGAATGGCTGTGAACGACATTTCCTACTGAGTAATGAGGCTCCAATGTTCTTTTATTGCTGACCTCAGTTTCTGCAACGCAAGTACAAGTCACAGGGATATTTTCATCTCTAGTTTCGCAGTTAATGTTTCATTTTCCCGGGAAAGAAACAAAAACATGTAATCCGTGGAATTTTTTGGTTGGGATTTCAAAAATAAATTACGTTGGATTTGCAAATCCTAGCATTTTAACTTCCCCGAAATAATCTGACTTTTACCCGACCAAAGAATCCCAGGAAACCACAAATAATCTGTCTACCAAACGGCCCTTAGGGGTGGTTTGTTACGGGAATTTTTCTGGAAAAAGGGAAAAAACGAGTAGGGCAAATTTATTTCCAACGTTTACAATGAGAAAATTGAAAATAATCTCAAGAAATATTTTTTCCCATCATTCCATTTTACACATCATATTCACAAATAAAAATATCATATGATACATGGTATTTTTATTTTCCCATAGCATCAGTATAATTAACCCAACATTTTCGGAAAGATTTGGACCTACCAAACACATTTTCTTAACTTACATGGAAAAAAAATCACCATATTTTCAAAAATCTTATTTTCTTGGTAAAAAAAATATCTCTTCTACCAAACGCCCCCAACCCCGTCAGGTCACTCACCTATTTTCTTTGAGAATTAGGATCAGGAGTTAGATTCTGTATGTACGTTGATTCCTCTGACCCCCGTAACCCAACCAGGTCTCGGTGTCTCCTGGATCAGAGGAGGTCATTACATTTTTTTTTTTTAAATTTACACACCAAACATCGTCATTTGGTGTGTAAAATAAAAATAAAAACTAGTTGTTGCCTATATCTAGAACTAAATCTGAAATCTGAAATTTGAATCGTTTTTCTTCTTCTCTTCTGATCTTCTCTCCCAAACCCAGTCTCCCAGATCCAGTGATCTCCTCCATCGTGGTGGTGGTTCCTCTTATATTCTTTGGTCTTATCTCTCCCTCTCCTCTGTCGTACTGGTTCTTCTCTCCTCACAGTTGATTCGTCATGGCGCCGCCTCTCCTCCGTCATTCTCTTTTGGGTAAGGGGTCCCATTTCACATGTTGTTCCTTATTTTAATGCGTGACTTCAATTTTTAGTTGTTGTTATTCGTAACTTCAAATAATACAGAGAAGTTCATTCTAGTATATCAAGAAGTATCAAAAAAATTTAAAGAGAATATATATTTCTTCATAGGCTATTATTTTTGAAGGGTATCTCCTTTCTCATATGGCCATTGTACCCCAAAATGAAAGCAATGTTTCTCAAGGTTTGGATAGCAATGGTGGAGAAGGACAAGGAGGGTCTATTTTGATGATATAATTTTTTATTAACTCCATTGGAATATGTGTTTTATATTTTGATACATTGATTAGCTTGTGTAATATTGACTAGTGGATATAATTGATTGAATTATGTTAAGTAAATTTTGAATATTTGATTATTGGTGGTTTGATGTTTTTGAATTTTTCATATAGTATATGGGAGTATGTTATTCTACCTACCTTTTTTTCTGCCTACCTTTACTTATCACTCTAACAGACCAATAGATCATAATCTTAATTAACATTTATTTTTCTCTCTCCTCTTTAGATTATGATATAACGATATTAGAGAGTGGTACGCAAATGTAAGCAAAAAAAGGTAGGTAAAATAACCTATATCATAGTATATATATTTATATTTTTTTAATATATAAAACCAGGTCAGCAAAGTGACCACCCCCTCCCCAACAGTTGAACTCGTGACCCCTGACCCCTGACCTCGGCTGAGTTGATAGCCGGGCCGAGTTTTTAAACATTGACTCCTAGTCGAACATTAAATGAAATCATAAGTATATATATACACTATGGCATTAATGTTTTTCATGTTTTAAGATATAACTTTATTTCTTACGCATACATAAAAATGTGTGGGATCCATGTGAGAAAGAGTAAAAAAAGATAAAATATGAGTTACATACACTTTTATGTATATGTAGAAGATAAAATTATCTCCTATGATATGAGAAACATTAATCTATCTCATATTAATCTCATATACTAATTAAATTAAATGGATTATATATAGTAAGGAAAATGTTATTATTGCAGACTTGTAGTAAAAAAACTTATGAACAAACATATCATTTTTCTTTCTAGAAGATCGTCATGTTAAATTTTCCTCATAAATACAAGAATGTTAATAAAAGAAAGAAAGAAATTTCTCTGAATAAGTGCAAGAATTTTTCCTCATGAAAGACAAATTAGCAATAAGTTGTGGTGACCACGAAGAAGTAATTATTTAGCAATAAAGGGAAATAGTCAGCACACGCACGAAAGAAAAATGATATAGATGAATGACATTTAACCCCATTTCTCAACTCATCAATCTTACTTATCATGTGTACTTAAAGTGAGAAATGATATTAAGTCATCTTAACATCATATCTCAATCCAACACCTTAAATATTAAGTTTATGTATTTTTTCACTTATATGATGCTCATTTAATCAATTCTTAATTAATATCCAACTTCACTTCACATACTTATTTCCAATATTCTCTACTCAAGTGTGAGCCTGAGCATTATGCTCCGCTTAAGGGCAATGAAAGTCTCTTCAATTACATCACTATCTCCAAATACTTGGATCAGTTAAATCATTGGCTCTGATACCATATTGAGTGGTGTGAAGGAGCCCAACACCTTAAGTAGTGATGACAATTCGTGTTAGCAGGTCATTTTGTGTCGAGTTGAGGTCAAACACGAATATGAATATACTTAATATGAACATGACACAAATAAATATTCATGTCAAGACCCTTGACACGAATATGACCCACTTAGTTTACAGGCTAACATGACATGACACAAATAACCCGCTGATCTTAAAGTGTCCCACTTATTTTGTTAGTTGACACGATATGACATGGCACGAATAACTAGCCAACCTAAAGGTGACTCACTCACTATGCAGGTTGAATAGCATGACACAAATAGCTTATTACCGAATGTTGTTTCACAAAATATCATGTTGACACGACAAAATAGAAATAACCCTGAAGAAGACTAACACAGGTCAATGTCGTGTTTGTGTTTGTGTCTGTAGGTCAACTTGAACACAAAAATCTCATGTTGTATTTGTGTCGTGTCAGAAGGTCGCGTAGTGAATTGCCATGTCTAAAATTAGGAGGTCACTTCTCAACACAAAATTTTTGCTATATTAAGTTTATGGATCTTTTCACTCATATGGTATTCACTTAGTTCATTCTTAACTAATGTGCCACCTCTCACTTGAATTTTATACATTTCCAATTTTGCGGCCCAACATTATTTCAATTACTTATACAGAAAAAAAGTCTAGCATTGAATGTTACAAATGTCATAGGTAAAGTCATTATGCATCAAAATGGAGAAATAACTAACTTGGCAAAAGAAAAAGAAGAAAAAAGAAAATAAAAAATTGTCAGAAGAATTACCTATAAGGTTTAAGGTTTAACCCTTTATTTAATGGAGGAGTTTACCTTAATGGATAAGACTCATAATCTCCAAAAACTTATGAAGCCCATTATTAGAGTGAATAATTATAATTAAAAACTAATTAATAATTAAAATAAAAATAAAAACATGAATACAAAATCAAATATTCAAGCAATCAAGAAAAGTATAGTTAGGGATTTTATTTCCCCTAATCTTCCATTTATGTTCTGAATCAAAAACCTTAATTAATCGACTCTTTTATATTGCTTGTCAAACTCAATCTCTTGGTATTTTAACCTTTTACTCTCTAGATCCTAATTCCTTGGTGTTTCTCAAGGGAGTTTAAGCATTAAAATTAAGAATTATAAAAATGGTACAATTCATATGTCTATTCTTAGAATCATAAAAATAAATGATGAATGAGTCAACCCAAATTCATATACCAACATCCCTATTGTCGTATATGAATCCTAATTCAATCTATAAGAGGAAGAACTCATAGAAGGAATGAATAACTGACACATTCATTCAATATAGAAAGGGAAAATTGCATTAAAGATTAACTCAAAAATATAAAGATTCAATTGGATTCCATCCAACCCTAACTAGAGAGAAATTCATCTACTCATGGCAAAAACAAAGACAAAAGAAAACATAAAAGTTTCCTCAAACTCCATCGCAAGGAGGGCATAGTGAATCTCTCCAAATCCCTACTTGATCTTGCCTTGAACACGTCTCCATCTCTCAAAAGCATGAAACCTTGGCGACTCTCGCTCCCCTTGGTGAAAAGCTTCTTTAGAAAGCCATGAAGGAAGTATTTATAAAGACGCCGATGCCTATACATTAGGTTTGGGGTTTTCTTTTTTTGGGCGCTCTAATGACAAATCTTTTGAATGAGATTTTATTTATTCTTTTTTGCAGCAATCATGATAATTTTTGCTCCATATCTGCCCAATTATCTAAAATACTAAAAAGCATAAACAATAACATAATCATATAAAAAATAATTTAATAACAATTCCTCTCATCATTTCAGTATTAATAATTTATGACATTAAATTCATATTTTAGTCCTTAATTTAAGAGTTTTAAGGCTCTACTTTGCATTCAAAACATTATGAATTTAACGTCTATTAGCAATTTTTGAACATGATCAATCCAAGAGTTACTAAGCTGGATCATACACGGTTGAGTCTGGTCCAATATCAATATGGTTGAATATGCTTTGGGATGTATATCATTGCAGGATAATCCTGTGGGATGGTTGAAGTGATGCTGGATTACTCTTCCTGTCTGGCACAGATGGAGGGAGATACCTGCAAGACATTATGACGTTTAAGTCAATGTTTGATCAATGAGCTTTTGTAAAGATAGATAAGATTATCATTTTATAGTTGTTGGATGTCCTGCTTATGCCATCTTAGTGAGGCGGCATTTAATATTATTAGCGGATTGGGGTGGCTTTTGTAGTCTATCATGTGTGTCAAATGCCTATTTGTGGGTTATGCCTTTTATGTATAACTAAAATTAGGTGCTTTTCCCTTAGCTATTGGCTATTAGGGTGGTTATAGAGTTATGAGTTGTTGGTATGCCTATGGGGTGACGTCAACGCGCGATAGACATGTTTTCTTACATTTTAAACCTTGGCTTTTGGGCCTTTTATGCCATAATTGGTTTGGATCCATCATCCCGCGTAGTATGTGTCTAGATACGTAGGTCATAAATAGTACATTGTTCCATCACAATCGATACTTTTTTAACTAAATCGTTGACTAAATATATGATTACTTCTATGTTAGTTGCTAATTATCTTAATTGACCTCCTTATATTTTTTTTTTGAAATATTCTAATCGGTTCATTGCTTCGCGACTAGTCCGATTCGGTGCGGGTCCTAGTATTAAGGTTTTAAACCCCTTCCAAAGACGATACTGAGGAGGAATGAACACATACTCTCACCACCGCCTACTCAATTCTCTAACGATAACTGAACTACGGTAAAAACTCCTTACAATTTGTTCTGAAACTTAAGGCTCATATCAAACTAAATATATTGGTCTATATTCCCTATTCCTCTTGTATGCATATCTCATGTCCTTATGAGTATAGGGCCCTTATTTCATGTGGGGCCACTAGACATAACAATGTGTTTAACCACTCTGTATACGGGAAGTGGAAGAAGGAATCACTCCTTCTCCATTACTTCGACTCCCTATATAAACCATCTTACTTTGTCTCTCCATAGCCATAAATACACACTTTTCCATTGAGCTCTCCCCTTTACTGAGTTCCAATACACTCATACCCTGTTGAAGTTTTGGTCCCCTCATCCCTGATTTCATTGGACCATTGTTATATATTATTAATTATTCGACTGATTCAGTTTGAGTCGGATAGAATTATAAAGATAGCAAAACTCTCCCTATTAGCTATTCAATATTGCTGCATATTCAAGACTCAAATTCAAAACCACTAATTAAACTATAATAACCCTTGTCATATTTTGTGTTCCAAATTCATTCTTATTAAAAAGGAACTCGGCAAATAATTTCAAACTATGGCCAAATAATTAGGAATGAAATTCCGCGGATATCCTTATAGATGAATTCAGTTATTTTAAGAGAGAATCTTCAGATATGCAGCAATATGGGAGGAATTCATGGCAAGAGAACATCTCATAATTCTCCTACGTACTGTGCAAATTTTTACTAGGCCCCGAACGTACCATACTTGGCCCTAAACCCAGATATTGGTCCAGAACACCATGTTAAGTCAAAACAACGGTGACTTATCCATTAAGTAATCAAATACACGCCTCTTCCAACCTTAGCAGACGGCACAGCTTAATTATTTTACAGTACTAACTTGTGGAGCCTATTTGAGAAAAACTTCAGTGTACTACCACTGAATTCAATACTCCCTTTTATTAAAAAGAGAATTTTTTTTCACTTTTTATCCTTTTTTTTTTTTTTTATATTTCCCTTTTAAGTTCTAAAAAAATTCCGTTTTTAATAAAATGAAGCATGAGTTCGGTGATCCGGTTCATTTCTCCCTGTCCAGGCCATAATACAAGAACTATAATTCTAGGCACGTCCAGATTAAGTTATTTTGATTTAGTGAAAGATCCAAATTTTCAAACATGATAGAACGTGTCAGATTAAATAGTTTTAATTTAGTGCAGGATTTTCAAACTTGTTAAGCTGTCAGGCTAACCTTTAACATTATTGGGCTAATTGACCTTCGACTCATTTAGTCAATGATTGGCTTATTATTATTATTATTATTATTATTATTATTATGATTATCATACAAACCAGGAGCAAAGACATCATGTGCTAAAGTGGAAATTCTGAAATTCTCCCCAATAATACCTTTCCAACTTACAGCACAATGAACAGAGGAAATTTGCCCAACTAAAAAAAAAAAAAAAAAACACACAAAACATTAAAATTAAATGTCAATGCTTCAATCAATGAAACATGACAAGATTATTCAATTCAAACATTGTCCAAAACAACACCTACCCTTATTAATAGGAACCCCATTCGTGTTTCTCTACACTTATCTCCGGAACAGACAAGCCTGATTTTGGCTCAAACCATCCAAGTTGCTCAACAAGTTTCTTCACCAGGGAGCCAGCTACGTAAGTAAGCAATGAGGCCAATACTCCAGAGGTAACATAGTAAAGTACTGTTTTGATGTATGTAACATAATTATTTGGTCTCTGTATATAAGCTTTAGCAATGCCAAGCAATGCTATACAAAGTAAAGAAGCTCCTGCAACTGCTGCAAGCTTGAGATCCTTGTCATCACTCTCACGAAATGAGAAGGCATATACTGCTGGTGGTACTAACCCAAAAATAAGGAACGATAAGATAGCTACAAAGGCATGCAGAATTGAATTCTCCCTCTTCCCCAGTAACTCATAATATTTATCCCCTTCTGCTTCTATTTCACTGCCCTCTTCTCTAGGTTGCGAAGCTTTCAGGTCCCTAAGCTGTAAATATATTAATAAATGTAGGAATCAGTCTTAATTGAAAAAAATATATATATATCATTTGAAGTATTGAAGGTTGGAATTTATGAACTCATACAAATTACCTAAATCCATAATAATCGTTAGTTCACACCTAGTGACTTTATGTGAACACTTAAATACTCTAAAAAGCATGAGAATTAAATTGTAATAATAAACGTAACTGTAATAATCAAGCTTTTCTTTATTGTACATGTGATATCAACAAAATTAAAAACTAGGAATTAAATTGCAGTATTAAACCAAAAAGCAGCAAAAATCGTTCTTGGCATTCATTCATTCACAGCTATTATGTGATTATTTAAATGCATAAGTAGCATTTATTGAATTTGATGCATGTTGATTTAAATTCTAATACTCATTTGTGTTATAAAATTAAATAGGGAAAAAGTTAAGATTTTTAAAAGCTTGCGTGTAGTGTTATCTTTTTAATAAAAACATAGCAACATGTATATTAAACAAAACTCACATTATGACCCAGGACGAAAAGTCCACCGATCAAATTTGCGATACCCAGAGCAACAATGTTCACTGCAAATACAAATTGACAAATAACATTAATCAATAAATTTGTTAGTATTATACTATTAATCCAAGTTCACGATCCATAGAAAAATTGTAGAATTTTTAAATTTGCATCAATTTCTTTTACTTTGTAAAGATCCTATAATATACATGTAATCGATGCATCCGGTAAACTATACTTTCATCTTTCTAGTATTTAATTACATAAGTGTAATTAACTCCCTTACTAAAGAGCTTTCTGAGTTTGAAGTGTAGACAATACATAGATTTATTTAAATTTTTAATTTTTTTTATTAGAAGAATATATGTAATAATTAACTATCAAATTCTAAACCATTTAATTATAAAAGCTTTAATACTATATTTTGAACTAATTACTTTAAAATTTTAAACTGTTAAATAAAGACACATAAGTAATTTTTAACTTTATTTTAAGAGGTGGTTGAAAACATAATTATTTCACATGAAATGTGTAAAATCTAATCAATAGTATTGTTGAATGATAATTTGAAAAGCAAAAGTGAGAAAACAAGGAGGGAGAAAGTTTAAGTACATGTGGTAGCATCAGCACTTGCTGCAGATGTCACAACACTAAGGCTCGCTAATAATTCAGCCAGACCACCATAAACAATGCTTTTAAGTACTTCCCATTCTTTTGTACTTTCTGGTCTCCCGCGAGGTGCTGGTGTAGGACCAGATGGATCTTGTATGGTAAGGGATGATTGGTCTGTTCAACAAATATAGCACATAATTTCACTGGAGAAAATTAGAGTGAATATAGCACAAGAATTAAATACAATGATATATGAGATATATGTAGATGATTGCAGGATTTAATTTAATCACGAAAATGTTCCAAATTGGAGAGTGATCCACTATTAATAGAAATTTATGATTTACCCTGCCCGCTAATATAATAATATAAACTGTGTATTTCTCCTATATTTTTCTTCTTCTCCTCGAACCATTCAAGTATAAAAGCTTTAATATATTCTTACTATAAAATGAAAAATCAATTAAAGAAATTATCATTTTAAGGTAACTTATAATGGATAAATCATTTCTCGTACAAGATAAATTTATTTCTTATAATAAAAAATATATTATTTTGAAATTGGAAAAAAAAACAGAGGATGTCTGAAATTTTATTTCTCTGCTACAATATGAATTTTCTTAAAATTCTATCTCTATATTTTGTTTTCAAATCACAAAAGGATATATTTTAAGATTGCAAATATAATTTTATGGGTTCGCTTTTTCTACAGTCAATGTAGATAACTTATCTACAGTGAGCCCAAAACGACGTCGTTTTGAGGCAGAAATTAAGGTATTTTTGTAATTGTAATTTATTTCAAGATTATAATAGTCTTTTTCATTATTATTTTTTTAATTTTTCAATCCAAAATGACGTCGTTTTGGGAGCGAATGTAGATAACTTATCTACATTCACTTTAGAAACATTAAAGCCTAATTTTATTCACTATTATATAGGAGAAACACTATATCTATTTATAATTTCAAAAGTATCTAGGCATATAAAAAAAGAAAATGATCCGTTTATAAACTTTTTTTATAAATTACACTAAGTATGACCGGTCATACACTTTTGATTAAAGTATAATCGGTCATACTTAATGTAGTTTATAAACAAAAAATTTGTAAATATAACTTTCTCTTAAAAAAAAATTACGACCTCTCAAGAAGAAAAAGGTTTGTTGAATTTTTTATTCTGTGTAAAGTCATGATTGTAATTTTTTTAATCACTCATTCAAAGGTCCCCGTGGTTTGTGTGAAGAAAGAGCTTCTGTATCTATCATTATCCTTTATAATATATATGACAGGTAGCAATCCTATGAAGTGAGCATATATAATACTTAAATAAAATGCTTGTTTACCAAAAAAAAAAAAAAAAAGCTTGTTAGAGGTTTATATATAACTTGGATCAAGGTAATATGTCATATATGGTTAGAATTACTTCTGAAGGAGGAAGAAAAATTCATATTTTCTAAGTCCAACCCAACCTCTTATTGCTTGCCACGCATCCCCATGAACATGGAATAGATGGTTAGCTAATTCCAAAAGTCAATAATGAATTTAGTTAAATGAGTTGAGGAAATACATTACCTGAACTACCATGTGATACCAAACCAGTAAAAAATTCTTTGCCTGCTCAAAACCAAAGAAGAATTTTAAGTTTGGTCATATTTTGTATTTGATATCAATTAAGAACTGAAAACTATCATATGCCAGAACATGTATTCTATTTCTAAGTATTTGTCTGTGTGTGTGTGTGAATTCATACAGATCAATATAGATCAATTGAAATATATTTGGTCGCCAATAATGTACAAGACTTGATGCAATTTTTCAAGATGAAAATAGGGAGATAAGACCATAAAATTAGGCTAAATTAATGTTTATAAAATATATAAAGTAGGTGCAAAGTATATTTAAAGACGATGCCACTGGAGGCGGAAATTAGTATTTTATTAAAATGCACAATCAATGAGCTTCTTCTTTCATTCATTCCGAATAGTAGCAACATTGTGTTTTTGTTATTGTACAAGTAGCTTGGAAGGACCGGTGTTGGATTTATGAAATTAGTATTTGGTAGGAAATAATTTTATTTTTTACACACGTATAGAAATATGTATGACCCATATTATCTTTTCTTCTTTCTTCTTTTGACATGGTCTTATATGAGCCTCACACACTTTTATGTGTGTGTAAAAAAATAAAATTATCTCATACAATATGAGAAACAATAATTTATATATATATATATATATATATATATATATATATCATTACTTTTATTAAACTTAATTGAACATGATTTTTTATTTAACATGTGCTGACACTATTGAAGTTTTAAAATCTTAATAATATAATGCACTAGCGACAACAATTATAATTATCACCGTCACATGAAATAGCAGTAAATAAAATATTATTACCTTTTTGAATAAGTAAACTGAGGCATGCTGAGCATCTTACTGGACCATCAATAACTGGAGGCTCAGCAGGAACAGGAGGATTTTCATCTGTTTTGTAAAATAAAACCTTTTCGATACAAACCTTACAATTTGGGCAATAGAATGCATGGTTTGGTAGCCTAAAAAACATCTTCGTCAAATATATTTCTTGCACTCCCTCACTAGGTGATATGGTTATGCCTATTGGTCCATCTTGGGTATACAGAAAAGAATTAGAAGAATTAAAAGAAACTACAGGATGATCACGAGCAGGTAATAAATTTTTTTCCTTCTCATGTTGGTTGCTGATTCCATCATTCTCTCCTTCTATAGTAATTTTGTTGCACGAGGAAGCAGCGGAAACTGCAAATTATATGAATATTTAAAATCTTCATATCATGAATAAACCGATAATAATAATCCAGGAAAACATATCAAAGCATATAAATTAAACAATATTTTTCTCATTTTTCTCCTTATTTTGAAGGGGAGCAACATTGAGTGTATATTTTCTTCTTCTTCTTCTTCTTTTTTTTTCTTCTAAATACATGTAATTTTTTTTACTTAAATACATGTATTTATTTTTTAATTAACAATACCCTTGAATTGGTTGCTGACTCCATGATCATTTCCTCCTCCAGTAGTGACCCTTGTGCTCGAGAAAGCAGCAGCAACTATAAATTAGATGAACATTGAAAATTTTCATAATGAAGAAAACGATAAGTTTAATTAATACATGAAAACAAATTGCTAAGCTAGCATATAAATTAAATATATTTTTTCTTATTATTCTCCTTATTTTAAAGGGTTCAAACATTGAGTGAATATTTTCTTGTTTTATTTTTTTTTTCGTTATTTATGTTATACAAGTGTATATTGTCCTTGAGGAAAATCAAAACATCTTTAGGGGACGTTTGGTAGTGGAAAAAAAAAAATTTATCCGGGAATCTCGATTTTCAAGAATATAATAAAAAAATTAAATTTACAATAATATCCAAAAATTAAAAATTTAGAAAAATTCAGTTTCCCGAAAATTCTAAAAAATACCTTGTACCCGAGTGAGGGTTTAAGAAACAGCCATGTGCCCCATTTGGCTCACAAAACATACAAATTAGAAAGAAAGAAAGAAAGACCGAATGTATAATAAAAACCAAAAAAGAACAAAAGACGTAGTAGATAAAAGTTTAACATCTCTTTAATTAATGCAATTTAGCCGTGTACTCAAATGCTATTGATTCGATTTTTATTATTAGTCTTCATTAGTAAGTCATGAAATGCAATTGTGTCTTCATTTGAATTTGTGGAAATTTCTATCCTTTAACAACTTCTCCGTAAACTCTTTCTCAAACACGCGCGCACACACATAATAACAGGCACAAAAAAGAACAAAAACAGCCGAAGTACAAGCTTATGAATTAAACCATTGTTTGAAGAATGCATATAAAAACAAGATGAATTTTTTTGTGTCAAGGAAAATACGAAACCTAATGTTCCTTAATTGCTACCTTGTATGTCTTGATCACTGGCCTTGAACTGTATTTGATTATGCTGATAAACATTTTCCTGAGTCATCAGTTTCTGCGCTTCGGCTTCCATTGTTGACAGGCACTTTGCTTGGTCGCCTTCACTACTCAACTCCCAGGAACGCCTCAGCTTTTTGTGTGTCCAAAAAGAAGAGTGCTAAGTAAATTTATAACGACTAGTGCCAGAAGCCTAACTTTGTCATATTGTGAAAGGCTGACATTTAGTCAATGCAACATATAATTAAATATGGGGATTAATATTTGATATGTTATAAGAAATAATTTTATTTTTTATATATATATAAAAATGAGTGAAATTCTTTTTTTTTTCTCTTTCTCCTTTTTATATGGCCTCATATGAAGCTCATACACTTTTATAGATATGTAAAAAATAAAATTATCTGATATGAGAAATATTAATTTGTTAAATATTTAATGTTCATATTGTGAAAGTGTTTAGCGAAAAGAGAAATGACGTAGCACGTGTTTCTTCGGGTGACGTTCCACTGTTATGGGTGCAAAAGACAGATAATAATAAAAAAAAAAAGTAAATAAAAGGGTCTTCTTACTGCTATAAGCCTATAACAGTAAAGTAAACGTAAATGGTTGGTAGAAATATTATATGACAAAGTTAGGCAACCTTTAATTCCCTCACCACACCATATTTTATTTCTCGTTTCATTAAAAAAACGAAGAAGTTTGTAGAAAAATAAAGAATGTGTATATGGGATATTATTAAAAAATTATATCAATTAATATCGAAATTCAAGTTAGCGTATCATTAAGTAAATAACATGATTTACAATTCAAAAACATACAAAAAGAAAAAATATATATAAATTGATGTTTTGCATAACTTTTAGTACAATTTTAATTTATTATGAGTTATTTGATAGAAGAATGACATATAACTTTGTACTATATAGATGAATAGTTTATATATATATATATATACACATATATATATATATATATATATAAAACATATATAAAATAAGAAAATAATAATAATTTAATCAACCTAATATATAATTAAAAAATAAAGAAAAAAATCAAATTACATTCCAAATGTAAATCTTTTGATGTAAATCAATTCTAAGTACACTATCATCTTCTGTTTGGAAAATATTCGCCCAAAATATATTTTATTTTTATTGATATTAACCTTTTTAGGTGGCAACCCAAGTGGCATTTCTTATGGCACTATCTTCAAAAAGATAAAACACTTCATGTAATTGATCAATAAATTAATCAAATCAAGTGATAGAAATATGTTCATGATAGTGATTTGATTAATGGGTTTTATAGTTCTCCTGTCACTGTAAAAAAAAAATTCTATAGCAACACTAGGATATACGATTTCGTATCTTGCGTGCTTTTTTATTTAAAAAAAAAAAGTAAGTGGGATCCACTTGCTTGTGTCTGCTGCACTCAATAAAATTTTGCAGCAATTGCAAACATGCAAAGCCCTTGATTAATAGCTCTACAATCTTTGCACATTCTCCATGACATGTCCTTCTTAGAAACCAATAAGGCTAGAGGAGCATTAGGACTTATGCTTTCACATATTACACCTTTTTCTACCAGCTCTTGCTTTTTTCTCTGAAAGTTTTCATATTCATTTGGGCTCATTTTGTGTGTTACTTGATTGGGAATAACAATTGTTCTTGATATAAATTAAATCAATACAATGTTAAATGTCACTCAATGGGCATCTCCTGTAGTATCACATCAATAAAGGCCTCAAGTGGGGATATATAGAACCTTCACCATTTTCTTAATCATTGTCATATTAAACATATTGCTTTGGATTTTCATCATTCTGTTCTCTATCAGAGTTATTGTAAACTAGATCATTGTCACAATATTGTTCTCTATTAGAGTCCTTATAAATTGAATCGTCATCACAATCTTGTTCTTTATCAAAGTCATCATAGATCGAATTGTCATCACAATTATGTTCTCCATCAGAGTCAAAGACTGGATAATTGTCAAGGTCTTCATTATCAATAGGGATCAGAACATGTTGATTTGGACAATTAGTGGCAAAATGCAAAAAGAATTGATTTGGAATCTCGATATGTATCCCGGTGTTCAAAGTAGAAGGCTGAACTCCACATCGAATCCCCTAATTTTTCTCTTGGCTAAAAAATGGTAACATATTATTGTCTCCCTCCTTGCCATTGTCGTCAAATGCATCTCCAATTTCCATGTCATCGTTGGTTTGAATGGACAATTGTGATCTCACAAACTATCATTCTAGTCTCTTGACTCGTCATTGTAGCTCTTTGTTTTCTAAGTTGCGTAGGTCTCTTGGACGGAGTTGTTCATCTTCGGTATCTAGGGCAATTCCAATCCCACCATGATTTTGTTCATCTAATAAGTTAGCTTGGGCTCTGATACCAACTAAAATCTCAAAACACATAGAAAAGAGGCTGAACAAACAAATTTGGGATTTGATAAAAGATAACTCTTGTTCTCAAAAAAAATAATTAATATTCAAAATTTAATAACTTACAAATGAAGGCATTTAATTTGCTTTTTATCTGGTAAAATGCAAATTCAAATGATTGAAATAGTTAACATTTATAACCATGTGCGTAGATAAATTAGAAATGGATCATCTCATGTGAAAAAAAATGATATGGTCATAGGGGTGTTTGCGGTCTGGATTGGATCAGTTTTAGAAGTAAAAATCATCTGATTCAATCCCTTCGGTTTAATCATGTAACCATCCATTCGATTTGAATTTTCTTTTCAAATCCGATCCGATCCAATCCAATTTTATTCGGTTTGGATTGGATTGGATCAGTTTTAGGTTTTTGAAAAGTCTAAAATTTGTATAATGCTTATCGTGCAAATAACATATCTTTTGTATGTATCGGCTTTATAAAGTTTGTATGATGATTATTGTGCAATCTAGAAGCATTGTACAACAAAAAGTTAAATTACCATCTTTTACCTCCAATAAAAAATTTATAATATGGTTGTCTAAGATACAAAGTAACCCAAATTTCCAAATTTTCATCCCTTAGAGGTGCTGTTGTACAACAATAACCCATGTAATAAAAATATATTATGTATCTTGCCAAAAAAGAGAGAGCATAACATAGATAAAACACAACCCACTTTCTCCAACATGATGGGTTAATGTGTCTTACATTTAGAATTTTGCTATATGATTTTTTGGGCTATGATTGAAAGGCCCAAGTAGGTAGATGGTAAGGTTGGGGAATCATTAGATCTGTTTGGATTGGATCGGTTTTCATTAATCCATCCAAAAACCGATCCAATCCAATTAAATTTTGCGATTTTTTTTTATTTTCAATTTTTTGATTTTCAGTTAATTCGATTTTTGATTTTTCGGTTCGGTCACCGCGATTTGAATCAATTTGGATCGGTTGATGGACACTCCTATATGATCATGTGAGAAGATCACAAGTTCACAATCATACAAAGATAAATTAGCGGTTATAATTTTGTAACTACCTATTTTAACATTATTTTTTCTCTCATCGTTTATTACCATTAATCCATTTTTGTATGGTTATGATTTCTCACCTAACTTAATCATATGATTTTTCTGTCACATGAGTATCCAGATTTAGATAAATTATAGATTTGCTTAATGCTTAATTTAATCCTAAGATTAAGTCGTGGAATTGGCGTCATTCAATGACGATTGATTTTGTCACTTGATATTAAAATATAAATTTACGTGGATCATCATCTATTAAATCAATATTTAATAATATTTTGTTGACCTATTTGTCGTCTTTCATAGTTTCATTAATTGTCGTCTTGTGTTTTTATCAAAAAAATTATGTCACAAAATATGTACAACGAGATTCATTTTGATTGTAGACTCTGAATTCCAGCTGTTTACATATATAATATTGCATGTGTTCCAGGAGTTCTTGGAGCATAACACGCAAGAATTGAAAATCGAATAGGATCAATAAATAATAACCAAAAAATTTAAATAATATAAAGTAACTATCATTTACATTGGACAAAGTGTAGCATTCCCCCAAGTCAACTTTATTTGCTGTCAAGAATCCAAATCTGTTAGGGGGTGTTTGATACAGGAGAAATTTTTATTTGTCCGAGAATCTCGATTTTCAAAAATATGATTTTTGCATTCAGTTTACGATAACATCTGAAAATTTAAAATTTAGAAAAATTCAATTTCCCGAGAATCCCTCAAAATCCCGCATACCAAACACCCTATAAAATACTTTAAAATCAAGAAAAACTATTGTAATTTGCCAAAAATCTAATTATTTTAAATAGAAATTTAATTATTTGATGCTTCCATGTAAGTATTATGTAATTTTTCTTCTTCGTCCACGATTGCTAGCTAATTGAATCAAATCATTTTATTTTTATTGAATATAACATCCACATAATAATAATAATAATAATAATAATAATAATTATTATTATTATTATTATTATTATTATTATTATTATTATTATTACTGGTAGGTAGGAATCAATTAAGTATATGATCAAATAATTAATGTCTTTTCTTTTTTTTTGGTAAACATTAATTGTCTTCTTTTAACTATGCAATTGAGTTATAGAGTATCATTGAAGACCACCAAATGGTGGTTATATGTAAAAATTAATATGAAAGCAAAATAGTCAAAAATATAAAGATAAAGAAAATAACATATTGGGAGATTGGAAGGAAGTATTTAGCAAGCATTCATTCAACATTCTTGCAAAAGTTGATAGTCTTACTCTAGAGAGGGAAAAAGTCTAAGGTGCTCCAACCTCATGATGGTCCTCCCATTAAGAGAGTGACACTTGATTTTTTTTCGCTCTCTTTCCTTCGCCCTACCTAATAAAAAGTGCTCCAAGAGCACATAAATAAACCTCCTAGAGATGAATTTTTTTTCTCTTGCACTAACATCAAAAGTTATGCTGAGCTTTTTTATTTATTTATTTTGGGGGCTCCACTTTTTTTCTTATGTATGTTGCAGGTGATAAGTTTTCTCCTGCAGGAAAAACTTATCACCCCTATTTAAATTCTATTATTGTTATAAAATACACATGTTTTACATGTGG